GAAAAAGTGGTCAAATCTGGACCAGATTAACCAAAAAGAAGTTTGTTGATTTACCAATTGTCATTTAATCAATCAAAATTGTCCCTGCTAATAGAATTCCCCGGCTGGAGAATTGGAAAAGAATGTCACAGTTATGTCATCAACATTCAAACGTTTATAGAAGAGAGTGACGTTCATATATAGATATGATGACTCCTCAAAATTCACTTTTTCGACCAATTCCAATCACTGTAATGCATACTCTCTTGACATTTTGTTAGGTGACTAGTACAGATTATTAAGAACCAACATATTTCATAATAGGTGAATAAATTTGCTAGAATCAGTAGCTACAAAGTACAATTTCTATTCAGAAGAGTGTAAAGATGTGATCATGTGAAGTAGACATTAAGAAATCTTGTGGATTTCATGGACCTAAGAAAGCTTACTAGAATATGAGATTCTCATTAGCGTTGTGGCATTAATATCGATCATGAACAGAAGAACAATGTACCATCATATGCTAGGAGACCATTCCAAGAATAAGGGATCATTTCCATGATGCAAAGTAGTCTAAGCTTGTAGCTTTACAAGTGCTATCAACACAAGTGCAAAATATGGAAAGAAACAACAAAATGAAAAACATGCCAGGGGATTCCTGAAATTAAAGGCAACCTAATGGCAGCTGCATTCACGAAAGCATTTGAAGCGAAATGAGATAAGTTGCTAAAAATGTGAATGGAATGAATTTCTAATATTCTTTTTGACACATCATTTCAAACAACAAGGATAATCAGAAATAAGAAACAACAAGAATCTAGAATTTGCATGGGCCAAGAAATTAATCATAGGAGTGATAATGTAACACTAAAGTCGCGACACAGTCAATCGGTCATCTGCCCCTTAAAGGCACAGTCAGATTACCATACATGATTGCCCCCATCTCGTTTTTTTGTCTGCCTACCCCAGCAAGATATGGCACAGCTATGCTTATCTAGATGTGTAACGTGAAGTAGCCTTATAACAGTGACACTAAAACCCCAATAATAACAGTATAAACTCTGATCCACCAAAAACTCTTGCGACAGAAATAAGTGCTTGACGGTTAGGGCAGGGACGTGACCGGGTTAAATAGCCCGTGACCGGTCCAAGATTTGGTTGTGCCACCTTGATAACCTTATGAGTGGTGCTACTGCCACCAGAAATAAATTCCAACCATAGTTCAGAGTCTTGACAATATGAACCCTCAAACTGCATTCGGTCACAGAAGCTGACAAAAATGGGTAACAAAGAGCAGGAAATATCACCAAGGTAGGATGAATATGTTAAATGTTCCACATTATTTTCTTGAATACCCTTTATATGATTCCATACTTGATTCTCCTCATTTGAACTGAGCCTCTTCCAGATAAAGATGTTTCCTACGATCACAATATGTATCTCTACTATCTTAAATTTGTGAATAAATGGGACAGAGACCCCTAACTTGAGTTGAGAACCTTGGGATGGGAAACAATGAGTTATTGAACACCATAAAGGAGAATTCTGAGCAATCACTTTCTGAGATCTTAAGCTTCTAAACATCTCAAAAAAAGAAAGGCATGTACGGTTGTCATATAACTGCACAAGGATATGGTACCAATCCAGACTACCTAACTCAACGCTAAACATGTATCTTTCTCCGGCATCTGTACAAGCTTACAGCTTTTCAACTTCCACAAAAGGAAACAATGTAAACATCCAGAAGCAAAAGATAAAAAAAAACTAGCTACATTGACCATTTAACTTACGATTTAAAAAAGATAAAAACATAAACGTCTACTGATAACTGAAATTGAAAATATTGCATGCAAACAAAGTCAAAATACGGTTTGGAAAAAAATCAATAAGTTTAATATTTGATATTTTTGAATAGTACATACCCACCTCTAGTACTCAAGTTACTTCCAGTATCCCCAAGAACACATGTTGACTTCAAGTTTCCAACAGCAAGAAAATGGAAATACACTATCACTCTAGCATAGTAATAATGGCTTGTTAAGTTATAAAAGTCACATGAACACTATATTTGTATATAGATACACACACACATATATTTATAAATAAATAGTTTACATATATATGTGGAGGAGGAGGGGGAGAACCCATCCATGTGAAAGGCATTATGAGAGAGAGAGGCTATATAGACTTATAGATGTAAAGACCTGAGAGTGATCAAGGTTGGAGTTAAATGGGGAGAACTTGACATCCTTCTTTGACACTGTTGGTGTTCTCTCCCCAAATAACACAGGAACTAAGTCAGCTGCAGGACCCTTCTGCACACCTTTACTTAATTGTATTAATGTATCCTTCATTCGACGGTATGTCACCTACAAATGCAATAAAAACATGACACATTTTTCAAATTTCTAAGATTCAAAGCATATCCTTTATGATGATTTTGGAGAGATCCCTATAGAAACCATCTTTTCATTATGCTAAGAAGGATGCCAGATTTATCAATAGGAATCCCTTTTTCTGGACTTTGTAATGTGCCATTGTTTACGAAAGAACAAGAATTATATACATTGTATAAGAAAGTCAAAAAAAATATTTTGAGAATGAGGGAAGACATTATAATATTAGATCAGTAGGATCCAAAAAGCCATTTTCTAATTTAACAAAATAACCTACTCGAACCACTTACACATGAAACTATTGCTATTTAAAAAAAGTTTCTCAAATAATTCAAATACGACCGACTATTATTCTGCAGTATTCAACAAAATTCAACATGAAAAACATATCCATAATTTGAAGTGGTGTATGGTGTACCTCATTCGCCACTTTTTCAAGGCGAAGAGGACTATTAAGACCCTCTTCTGGGATATCATCGAAAGCAACAGTTATAGATGAGTCCTGTTCAGCATAAAAAACAACTTACAATCCCATAATTCTGCGTCGAAGGTGAATAATTCAGTTCCAATAGAAAACTAACCTTTAGACGGTAAACCACACCTTGTCCTAAAGGAGGAGAGCCTAAATCAGCCTTATTTGGTTTTAAAACAACAACATCATGAGTACCAAACTGCAAGGGCATAAAATCCATAAGCCAAAATATTAAAAGCCAGAAAAACATGAGAATTGGAAACTTATAGCAGTCAGACAAAGGGTTATCAAACAAAATATAAGTTAAGTATTTCAATCTCTCAGTGTATATTGGACCTTCTTCAAACTGGCTTTTGGACTTCAACAACTCTATTGGATATTGGATAGAACAGAGATATCTCGTTGGGGGGTCTTTTAGATAATCAAGGGCTTCCTTGCTCTAGTTCAAAACTAGCTATGCATCTTCCTCAATTGTTAAGTGATTCAGTTTCACTCACCATCTCGCTAGCTTGGATAGCCAGTCATTTTACATATCTTCCGGTCCTCCTCAAACAATAGGTAACTCATGTTTACTAGCAAAATGGACTTAAACGAAATAAAATATAAAACTAGAAATTGAAAATATAGCCCGAGACCCGGTTCACTTTCTACAATACACATTACAAAACTGTACTACTCTGCACAAAGCTTCACATTCAAACTAAGTAAAAGGCACGGTTTGAGGCCTCATGATCCCACCGGGTGGTCTTTGTACACTCTCATCTGCCCCCCCCCCCCCCCCCTCTTTTTTTCAATAGCAAAAAAAAAAAAAGTAACAGGAAAAAAAAATTACCTTGTGAGCGGGAAGAACATCTCCTTTATTAGATTGAAACTCAAGAAGAGTTTTGCCCATTAACCCCGTCTACACTCAAAACCAAAGCAAACATTCATATGAATAGCCAACCAACAGCTACATGTCAAATCAAAATACACAGAATGTACAAAACAACACACACACACACACACACACACACAAAGAAAAATGTAGTGCGGTACCTGAGCATCTACACATTTCAAATTAAGAATGGTGGAACCCCTCTTTTGAGCAGTTTCCAAATTCCTCACCGAACCCGAAGTCATGGAAACCGATATCTCTGCTTCCTACAACGATTGCATCAAAGTCACAATTACGAATCACCAATCCCCAAACAAGAAACAAGTAAATGAATTTGTGGGTAGAGAGTACCTTTTCCATATCAATCAAAGGGGCCATGGTGGAGACGAATTGATCCAGAGACATAGCGCCCGATGATTTCGCACTAGTCTTTCCTTTCTCCATTGGTGGTCTTTGTAAGAACGAGAGAGAGAGAGAGAGAGTGAACGTTCAGCGAGGTGGGTTTTGGCAGGTTTTTTTAATTTTTCTTTTTTTTTTTGACAAATGACACTTTACACCCTAAAATATCCTTTAATTCTTAATTTACAATTTAAGAGACATCTAGATAAAAATGTAATATCGTGGTCTAAAATTAAATGTTTGCTGCTTTATTCGATAAACTTTTTTGTTGTAATTATTATATTATCCTATTTTTATACATAATTTTTTTGCATAATATTCAATTTTAAGTATCTAACAAAAAATTTTATACATAATTTTATTACAATACAACACATTATTATCTTTTATTTTATTAAAGGTATAATATGAGAATTTAATCTTTTAAACTATAATTTATAATTTTAAAAAGCCTTAAAGATATAAAGTATCATTTACCATTTTTTTCCAGTAATTGTTAGAAAAATAGGGTGTCTACCAAAATTTTTATTAAGTTTTAGATTCAAAATTAATGTGAATTATAAGATCAGTGAATCCCACAAACTTTAATTACGTATCCAATGACTATTATCGTGCTAAGTGGATATCGCAAGCATTAGAGCTCACAATCTTTGAGAGGATTCATAATTTGATGTAGAATTAACTAACTTGACTTATTTATAAAATATTTCGGTGAAAACAGGTCAATTCATTAGATCCGACAAATAATTCACTAGACCCATGGATGCAACCATGCCCAACCCTCATTTTTTCTAAAATCCTTGCAATCTCTCAGATTTTTAAAAAATTATAATCTTACCCTTATGTTTATAAAAAAAAAAAAAAATCCCCATGTGTGACATTTCACCAAGCGTATTCAAAAAAATTAATGGGCTAACATTTAAATTTTTTTAAGTAGAGGACTGACATTTAATAACAAAATAACATATATCATCACATGGATCAATGTTGCCACTAATACACTTGTTTGGATGAGTTTGATGACAAAAGGGTAAAAAATATGCGTCATTGTTACAAAATACAAAGTTGGTAGCATCATATTAGAGAACCCGAGTTGCTGCTACAGCCAAAAGCTTGTCGCTTCTCAGCATGCATTCCAGACTTTAAGCAACGATAGCCAGATTCTCCTACAGAAAGGTCAAATACAATCCATGTCATGCGAAAAGCTAAGGCCAAAACATACCACAAGAAATGCTTGTCATCAAGTCAGTGACTCTGTTTATCCAAAACATTAATCTCAAGCACTGGGCATAATTCTTCCATTACCACAAGGGTCATTTCATCGCTTAATAGCAGGAGACACACTCGGAGCAGGGGGAAATCATGGACTCATTTGTATATAAGGGCATCACGTCCAGGCCCGATACCGATGTAATGGATGGGAATACCAACAAGTTCTTCTATCCTTTCCACATATTGACGGGCTGCCTTTGGCAGATTGGAGTAGTTTCTTATAGAAGAAATGTCACAGTGCCAGCCACCCATAACTTCGTATTCCACCTGCACATACATAATTTGTTTTTTAAAGAAAAAAAATATTTAAAGGCAATAGCACATTTAAGTTAAAGAAAGATATTGTCAAAAATCCTTTCCAAATTCAGATTGTAACTAGACACACCTGGGGGCACAAGGGGTGAAAAATTTGTTGTAATCATGAGGAAACAATTCTGTATGATTCAAAACAATTTAAAAGTGTCTGCAAAATGATATAAAATTGTGTTCTCTTTTATACCTTTGTCCATCGGTTCAATGTTTTGGTTACACTGCAAAAGGTTGACCTCTCCATGCCCCAACCCACAACCGTTATGAAGGCAAGATCACTTGTTAAACTTAGTTTTACATCCTTACCAATACAATAAAATTACATAAAATAGACAAAACATAAAAAAAAGTCGGAATTAAGTTCCATCCATCAGTTCAGCGGAAAGTTTGACTCCTTTATAGCACCCAAACAGCACTTAATGGACACCAAGACCCTAATTGGTATATGGAGAGAGAGAGAGAGAGAGAGAGAGACTTGCCTTCAATTGCTCGAGAACACAAAGATCTGAAGGGAATGATTTGATCGGTGTACCATCAATTTGTTTGTAAGAAACTCCTAACTGAATTTCAGGAAGATCCGACAAAACATCAAGTTTGGTAAGATTAAGAGAAGAAAAACCATTAATCTGACAGCAATATTTCAGTGCAACTATGTCAAGCCAACCACAACGACGTGGACGACCGGTATTTGTCCCGAACTCCTGCCCGGCAAATCTGAGAAGATCCCCACTTTTACCCAAGATTTCAGTGGGGAAAGGGCCCGACCCAACTCTTGTATTGTATGCTTTAACCTGCACTAAATGTGTTAGTTGGGAACCTAAACATCCATTCAAAACATGTTAATTGTAAGAAGATAAAAAATTGACTAATAAATGCTATTCAATATTAACTTTTGCCGCGTCTTTTCTGAAAAAAAAAATGTGTTATTCAAAACATCTCTCAGACATGAGAGACAAACAAAATGTTAGTTTACAAGAGAACAATCCTCTATGCACAAAGAATTATTCTTCAGTGGTAACTAAAAAATGTCCTTGCACTGGAAAGGGGAAAAAAGTAATCATGAGATCATCCACTTACCACTCCAATCAGGTCACCAACAACTCTAGGAGCAATGCCTAGACCAGTGCAGATTCCACCAGCTGATGGACTAGAAGAAGTCACAAAAGGGTAGGTACCAAAGTCGATATCCAACATGGTAGCCTGACCACCTTCCACCAAAATCGTCTTCTTTTCAGAGATAGCTTCATTCATATAATGCACAGTATCAACAATAAAGGGTTCCAATCTCTCAGCAAATCTCTTGTACCTTTCAACTTCTTCCCTGAGCATTTCAGGAGTATAGTTAAAACCCTTGAATCTTGAAGCTGCTTCTGAAAATAAAACATCAAGCTTCTGAGGGAATGTATCCATATGCCTCAAGTCACTTACTCTTATGCCATTCCGGATAACCTTGCTTGAGTAACAAGGTCCAATGCCTCTTTTCGTAGTGCCAATAAAGGAACTAGCTAGCTCAGCTTCCCTGAGACCATCTACCACTTGATGAAAATCAAATAACAAGTGAGCACGATCAGACACCAAGATTCTTCCACTGCAGGAAATTCCATTAGACTCAAGACCTTCAATTTCTTTAAACAACTCAGGTAGGTGGACTACAACTCCATTACCAATAACACACAGAGTTTCCTCATTAAGAATCCCCGAAGGAACAAGATGAAGTGCAAATTTCTTGCCCTCTGCATTGTAAATAGTGTGTCCAGCATTAGCTCCACCCTGACATCAAGTAATGTCAAAGGCTTTTCAGCGTTCAAGTCAAAATTGCAATTCAAAAACACATGGTGGTTTAATATACACAATCTCTACAAATATGTGGTGATCACCATTAACAATAAGTCGCAGTAGCACAAATCCCCTATCAACAATAAAAAATTAGCTCCACCCTGATGCCCACACCATTTTTTTTTTTTGATAATATACAAACATTTTATTAATAATAATAAGTACATAAAACAAACCTGATTCACATGCCATTAGCCATGTCACATCCAACATCCACTTGCTGAAGCAAGTTTCTTGGTTCCACACAGATCGACATTTATGTGGTCAGTCATATTCTTTTACACAAGATTGAACAAGAATAACAGTCGGATAACAAAATTACGAGGTACATTAAGTGAATACACTTAAGTCCCAAATGCTACCTAATAGAGATGCCCCAGGCCCTACAAAAGTGCACTGAAGGGGAAAAAAAGGTCTTATTTGGTATGAAACAGATTCTGGTATCATTTGGGAGCACTATAATCTAAATTTGTATTGAAGGATAGAAGGACATCTCTATGATTTTGATTATAGGGGTTGAATTTTAGATTTTCTGTTCTTTGAGTCTAAAAAATAGGTTACTTAACTGTGCAGAGACCATCTTAGACAGACCTGCTAGCTCGTCACCTGCTGGGAAGCAACTAGGTTGGTTCAATGTAAAGCATTTGGTCATCTACTTGGAACTTCTGAGCCCTTAACTGCTTGGTGCTGAAGGATCTCTTTTCTGCTGGCCTATATTATGGGTGTAGCCTTCGTAATGAACCGAAGAATCAGTTTGCAGCCGTTTGATCAAGTGGTAGGATTCCACAAGAACTCAATAAAAGTGATCTTTTTAGATCAAGTGAGATGAGATGAGACACCTCAATGTTTCTCTTCCCTCTATCAAAAGTTCACGGTTTCAGCACATTTATACTTCTTGCTTCTAAGTTTTTCCCCAATTTTACAAAAACTTCAAATTTCTACACTTTCCTCTCTTGGTTTTATAAGAAACCAGTTATGATATGTAGTCGTAAAGCTTGTGCTGCATCAATATCGCAATCAACACACAGAACCCCATGGTGTAATACATAATACCAGAGAAACGCTTTCCCGACTCTTGAATAAAATTATCATTATGGCAACCACCGTGCAATGAATTATAAATCAAATTAAAGAAGTGGAAGGCATAGTATTCTAAAAAAGAAGCAATACAATACAGGATAGCAAGTGTTAACGCCGAGTATCCTCTTATGGCTTGTTAATCTGAGCATTCAAAAAGATTGTTTAATTAAGTTGACCATGTCTGGTGATGATAGAGATCAGTGATATTGTTACTTTTATTAACATTCTTCTAGTCATGATGCAACTATGATTTCACTCTCATCTATCTAGATTATTGCCCCAAATCCAGTCAAACCAATTAATATGTAACCATCACCCCACACCTCGTCATAGTTTCACCATGCCAAAACAACCACCAGTACCACCACTACAATCTTCAACAAAACCAAACCCACTACTGGCATCTTTCCACTATTGCCATCATCAAACTGTTTTTTTACTGATAAGAAACAGAATTTTAGTAATATAGTAGCGTAGTACATAATTTGAAAATCACCATCATTAAACTAGTGCATGGCTGCAACCCCAACAACCACCTCAAATAGTCTTCCATCGCAGCCCGTTACTATCATCTCATTAATTCTCCAACCACAACCACCTCACGTACTCTTTCATCCCATCTCACCACCATCGACTGATCAATGCTGCCTTCGCCACTTCACAAGGCCTAGCGCTACCAGAAACTCAAACTACCTCCAGCAACCACTCAAAGCCATCACCAAAAAGTCACTACAAAGGTCACCTCCTCAATGATTGCATTACCATTGCCACTGGTAAAACCACTAAGGCACTAAGCTACTGCATCTCCCCCTCCATGTCACTACATCTCCTCTGGTACATGATTAGAGCCACCACTATTGCGAAATGTCACCATGCCAATTGATAATCAATGCAAGTCTCTTTCGATCCACAGCAGAATTTGTGATTCAAATAGGATGCAAAATTCAAGGTAAATTGTCTGTCCTTTACTTTTTCAATTTACATTTCCTTTCCTTCGCTACACCCACGAACCCAATCAGTTTGTGACAACACAACCGAAAATGAGGAGTCCAAAAAATATCAAAAGCACATGAAGGCTTTCGGCTTCTTTGTGAAAGCTATGGTCCTGGATCGAATGGCCAAAAGGGAACCATGTAGCCTACCCAATTACTTGTGAAACCAAGAAATTCTATAAATTGAGCAAGTTTGAGTTGTTACATGACACAAAATTGAAATAAGTTAATTCAATAGGACACCCATAAACCACTTCAGAATACGCACACCATGCATCAATACACTTCTTCATGTGTGTGGGGGTGTGAATACCAATAAACCCTAATTTTAGCAAGAAGATACTTTTACGTATATATATACCTGACAGCGAGCAACTATGTCGAAGTGCTTGGCCAAGATATCGACGAGCTTGCCTTTACCTTCATCACCCCACTGACTACCCAACACGCCAGAGACCTGACTCAGTGACCCGATTCGACTCAGGCGAGCCTCGTTCACTCCCTGTTCCGCCACTGCGGAGGACGATGACGAAGAAGAAGCAGCAACGGGTTTCACAGAGCACATAACGACCCTCCTATGTGGCCCACTGTTTCTGTACGCTCCACGGCCACTGATGAAGCTCCTTTCTGGGACTGTGAAGATAGAGTTTGAGTCGAGACGGAGAGATGAGAGATTCATAGAGGTGATGCTGGTTCGAACCAACGAGAGAGAAAGACGGAGGGGGTTTTGGAAGGAGATTGGCAAGAAAAATCGTTCACTGTTGTTTTGGATGATTTTTAAAATAGGGATTAAATTGAATTTATGAAATTCTTTCAAATTTAATGAACTTAAAAATTAAACTCGATAATGTTAACTACTGAATAGGTAGTGAATCACAATAAATTTTGAGATCTACAGTAAAATCAATTGTTATAATTATAAAATCTAATTTTTAAATCTATTTCTTAAATCTATGTAACATTACTCTAATCTATAAATTTTAGATTGAATAATATTTCGTATTTAATTCTATGTTTGATAAATGACACAAATCTATACTACTTTAAAAAGTGAGCATATTAAAAAAAAAAAAAATTCATTTTTATCCTCCATTTGAGGCACGCAATAACGAGAAATGTCATAGAGAGGTGTTTTAGGCTACTAAAAATGCAATGAGCTATTCTTAGGACGACGTGTTTTTATCCTATAACAACGCACAACAAAATCATTGTTGCTTATTGTTTACTACATAATCTTATTAGGAACGAGATGAAATATGATCCGGTGGAGGAAGAGTTGGATGACCATCCATTTGAAGATGATAATGTGAATGATAATTACATAATTGATAGCGTTGAATTTTCGCATGGTTGGACTGCGTGACGTGATCAACTAGCAGCTGACATGTACAATAACGAGATGACAAATAGGGTACCTTGATGTTAGTGGGTACAGATTGTTGCAGTTTTTTTGTGAATTACATCTGCGTGATCAAACTTTTTTTTTTTTTAAGTTCTATTCCTTGCAAGTAGTGGTATTATTGGATGTTTTGTGTGTATTTAACCGTCTTTAAAAAAATATTTTGTTGGCAACTTTAACTTAATTATACTTGTACATATGGATTCACTGTTATTTGTAGTGGTTACATGGCAAGTGTCGGGAGTTCGTAGTTTTTGAGAAGTTCTCAGTTTGATAAGGGACCAAGACGAATGTGGTCAACGTCCGAATAATCGTTGCTTATAAATGCGCTGAAAGATATTTGCAATTAGGGCTAGAAATTCCAAAACAACGCGTTCAGATCAGGCTATTTGCACCACTTGGAGAAGGCTTTATCAGATGCACAAGGCGAAACTGACCTACGTGCTACTCCACACATTGAGTCGAAGATTAAAAACTGGAAGAAAACCTACAACACACTCTTCACCATGCATAGCATGTCAAGGTTCTGGTGGAACGACGTAGAACAAAAGATAAATGTTGAAGGTGATGACGTTTGGGTAGAGTACGTCAATATACGTATTTCCCAACCCACCTAATATCGTCATTAAGTCATTCACTAACAACCTGATTTTTTCAAGAAAGACCGCAATGCAACAGGAATGCATGAGAAAAGTTGGTCCTACTCCAATGACTCGAGCATAATTTTTGGCAAAGACCGTGAAACAGACGAGTATGCCAAAGATTTAGAGGAGATGGTTGGGGGTGATGATGCGGGAGTTCAGGTGCATGATACTGAGGATGTCGCAAACACTAACGTAAACATGGTAGACACAAGAATGTCTAAAAGCACGCCCTCTACATGGTGTGGTTGGACAAGGGGACACACCTACAAGCCGTAAACATCAGCAGAAGACAACTGGTGAAGCATTTGATGGCATTGCACGTAGCATAAGTAAAATGACAGACATACTTGGTGACTATGTCTTGAGTTGTGGAAAATAACTCTCAGACATTGCTCAGAGGGTCAGTTACGAGCAAGATGCTGCTGAGGCTACGTGTCAACTGAATGCAGAATTGGCAAAAATCGATGGCCTAACAATGAATCACCGACACAGGACGACTTACAGGATTGCTAATAACCCGATTAAGGTGGATCTCTTCATGAGCTTGCCAGAAATGTGAGAGACCAGCATTGCTTCTTAGCGTAATATGGGGTAATGCATCTGTGATGGACAATTAGTACTTATCCTGACTCGCTTGTTTTGGAATCTTTTCAGCGATGTGAAGTCTTCTACAATTTGTTGTTGTTCGTAAGTTATGCGTGAAAGTGATATTTAGACAATGTAAAAGTATCATTTGACTGTTGATGTCATCACAATATATTTCTTTATGCTTATTATGTTTTGGGTATTTAATGTTTGTGTTTTAAAATTGAACTGAATTTTTTGTGTTATTCACATTTCACAATAGTCATGAGTTCAATAACAGGAATGCAAAAGGGTTTGAAGAAGAAATGGTATGTTGTGTTCAATGGTCGAAGGGTAGGAATTGTTGATACTTGGCAAGAATGTCACGGTCTTGTCACTGGATATCCTGGCGCTTTGTACAAATCGTTTTTGTCATATGTAGCTGTCCAAAAGGCCTTAACATAACACATTTCCGCTCAAGTGATAGACCAAAATGAAAAGCCAATGCATATACAACAAGACACCATTGTGAATAATCCATGGGCCACCAGAGCATGTGCACGAATTCTCACGCCACATGAAATGGTTGGAAGAAAACTCTCTCAAGAAATTCAACCAATCCCACAAAATGGAATTATGCTCATTCTAATAGCGTTCATATTGGGTTTCAAAATTTGTAATATTTTGACCTCATTTATGGGGAAGTTTGTTTGACGGAACGATCATGTGCGATGATCATGTTTCCAGATATTTTCCTCATCAACTTATGCTTTGTTTGTAATTTATGTATTCACTTTTATGGATTGATATAAGTAAACTAATGTACAAATTTTTGTTCTATTATTAACTAATGTATTGCACATTCATTTTGTAATGGATATTATTATTGGACCATCGTTAAAAGAAATGCGGCGATTAAGGCTAACACAAGAAGAGGAAGATGTTCTGTTGGATTGTCTTATGGACTTTAAGTTGGAGAGACGCATTGGCAACACGGGTGAATTCTTTGAAGGAGACTGGAGTCGTCTGTGGGAGATGATAAGTGCATGTCGACAAGCACCACGATTAATTCTGGGACTAATGATGGAAGTAGTTATGTTTTGGAAAAGACGTCATTTCAAGATGAAAGATATGAAGGCTTCGGGTTATTCTGTTGGAACAATTAAAAACGAGTTCTTTTCCCAATCAATTCGGCAGGAGTTTATTTCTTAGAGGTTTATTTTTTGTTAGTTTTGTACATATGTATAGTACTATACAAATTATTATATACATGTGTCAATAAATTAAATATGTCATTTTTGTAGGATGACACATTCGCAGCTCGAGCGTGTGTGCGGACTTGTCCCAATTACGAGATCTTCACAGAAATATTCGGGCCACATGGGGAAGACATAAATATATTAACAGTTTCTAGTGCTGCCTTAACTTATGTCACATCTTCAAATAAGCCTACTGTGGACTTGGTTATTATTGATGATTAATGTCATTAATAGATGTGAGCACTTTGTAACCAATATAATAATGTTAAATATGGTGTAACGGGAATATGTCCGTCCGATTTGATGTATTTGGGAATGGACAAATTTTGTATGTATCTCCGCATATGTAAATGTTAGAATGTTGCACTTTCTTGTTGGATTAATGCTTTATTGCGATCTATTATGGTTATGAATAATAGTTATATTTTATCAACATTTATGGTTTTGTTTTATAAGTTAGGGAAAAAATTTTAATCATATATTTAAAACATAAGGACACAAGAAAATATACTTAAACAAACATGGGTTTGAATTAAATTGGTTAAAGGGACAGAATAGTCATTTATATATAAATATAGTATCATAATAGTCGTATATCTCTGCGCATACCAAACATGGGTATGGACAATATTAAATGTTGAATCCCATCTTTGGGTTTGGACAAGTCAATCCAAACTCATCCCAAAAAACATACCAACCAACTCCTTAGAGTATAATTTTCAAAAACCCCAGGGTTAGGGTAAAAGCTCTTGAAATACCAGGCAATCATAACTACCATGTCAGGAAACATGCTCATTGAACATGCCATCCTTTTGTAACTTCATTCCATTAAAAAAAATAGTGCACCAAAGAGGAATGACCTACATTTACCAAAAAGCTCCTTTATAAAGGTCCATTTTTCAAAAGGACTTGTTTGAAAAGGTCCATGTGACGGACTAAATTTTGCATAGCTGGTTTGAAGGAATCAGAAAGGAAAAAAGAAAACACCCGAAGAGTGGGGGAAACAATGGATTGATTGGAGAAGGTCTAGACGAGCTTAAAAAATTTGGCTTTATATACAAAATGTATGCTGAAAATTAAGTTAAAATTACATCAAAAAAGGACATGCTTAATGAAACAATTAAGTAACATGCACATTGAATATCCATTTCAAATTGGTAAATAAAGCAAGAGTTGCAACATAAGAAGTATAAAACCACATGTGGACGTATTTGTGATGAGTTAGAAGTAATACCTACTCGAAATTTGAGATAGTTGCACATTTGTTGTGAAGATCAATACACACATCAATAAGACCCTACAAATTGTGAAAAATGTTTAATAACATTAGCATAAGATGAGGTTGCAAAAATAAAAAGATGTGCTAGCATACAATATGGCAGAATGTATGACTCTATACATGGTAGAATGATGGACAACTGATTAAATTTTAAGTAAGCAGACGACCAAATTTGTTAGGGAGAGTTAATGCTGTAGGGTTATGTTTAAAAACGTAATCTCAACTAACTTGCTTCAGCACACCCATAATCATTCTATCCCTAGTCCCAATCAACCCTATCCCCCTAAAAATTTATCACACCACAATATGGAGAAGAGTTAATATTTAGTTTCCATCAACAGAAATTAAAAATAATGCATCAGGAGCAACACAAACAAATGAAACAATTTTTCATCCTCAAGAACAATAAAAGAAATGACTTTATTCTTGAGAGATTTTGAGAAAAAGAGAATCGTTCAAGTTGGACGTGAAGGTGTGATGTAGAACAAAATCAGCAATTATTCTATTTTTTTTATTATTTATTTAGAGTAAGAGTTAATTAGGAATATTTTAGAGTTATTTACGGCCTAAACTATTCATAAACCTTCAAAACTTCTTGGTGACAATCAAAGTGCTAT